CCAAATACAAAAGGAAAAGTAAGTTAAAAAGAAGAACGTAATCTCAGAACTGTTCAATGTACATGGCGCTTTCGTCCTGCTGGACGTTCTCATATCATACCAATATCACATTAACACACCACTATAGTCTCTTCTCTATACCTCCATCAGTGTCTCCTCTGGCAGTTCAGGGGCTTCGAAGGTGATGAGCCCCTCTAGGCTGGGGGGTGAAGCACCATAAGGCACGTATCTCAGGCTGGGAGCTGCCTCTGCTCCCGGCGGGGAAGAGCCCATATCTGGCCCAGGCGGGGAGCCCACACCCCCGCGGCCACTTGCGGAGCACAGAGAGCCTCCCGAGCTGCTGGACTCCACTGCAAGGAAACACAGGGCGCATGGTGCAGATGCACAGTTTGGTCCCAGAGTTAGGGAGTTCTGCACCCACTTCTACTCTGACTTATTGAACAAGACCCACTGGAGTAATAAAGAAAATGTAAAAAAAGAGAAGTCACTAATTCCCTACCCTACTTGAGCATATAAATAGTTTTTATTTTTCCATTTTCACTTTTATTCCTTGTCTGTGTGTATATTTTACAGATATAATCAGAGCCAGTTTTTTATACTCTGTTTTAAACAAATTTATATTATATACATTTCCCCTTCTTTGCTCCATAGACTTCACAATAACAAAACTCAACAGATGCACAGTGGTTCACTAAATTTATACAAAAAATGTTTATCTGGAGCCACTTATATGAGGGTAATTCAAAAAGTTCGTGGAAAAATAGAATTGAGAGAGAATAGGGATCCTTCCACGAACTTTCTGAAGCCATCTTGCACTATTTCTGATTTTCATATGCTTGTAATAAAATGTATAGGTTTTCCATCTTTTCAATGAGCTCTTTGTGATAAATGTATTATAAACAGGAATGGAATTACCGCAGATCAAATATTAAAAACATTTTTAGACCTCTTCCTAAGAATTGCCACATTACTTTCTAATGCAGCCATGAATAAGTACATAGATCCCACTAAACAACAATGGGCATCATACTTTAAAAAGAATTCTTGGTGTAGTTAACAGATGTAAAATGATACTTTCCTAAAATGGCACTTTCTTATTTATTATAGATGTTTAATAATCCTAAAAATAAGATTTTAGCTCTACTTCCTCTCATTATCTATTTCTGTCCTTTGCTTACTCATCTACTGATATTTTGATTAGCAACTTATTAGAGAACTTAAAGAACATAAGATACAATA